ATCAATCAACGGCGAAGATGTTGGTCGCGTTCTCATTCTGCCCGCAGTGCCCGGTGTTTGCCTTCAACCTTGGGCCTGCATTTCAACACTGCATGGGTGACACTGTACCAACAGAGCTACAGTCGGCGGTCGCCCGTTTAGATTTATTTCTACTCTTTCTAGCATTTTCGTCGTTTATTGAAAAGCGTGCTGTATACTGTCTAGTCCTGTTCATGCACAGGCGCGAGGTCCCTTCAGCAGAGAGGATTGGACTTCATGCCTGAATCTGGACGTGTTTGGGAAGAGGTGCAGAAACATGTGAAATGATCTGCCTTTCTGCATCTCTGTGTAAAACTCATCCTGATTCAGGCGCTTTAATCTGATGCCCTCGCATGGCTTAAATCAATGGGAGTTATGGATGCATGCGTGCGTGCCTGCGTACGTGCACGAGTGCATGCATGCGTGCGTCCATGCGTAGGTGCATGCGTGCGTGCATGCGTGCGTGCATGCATACGTGCACGCGTGCGTGCATGCGTGCGTAAATGCGTGCGTAAATGCATACGTAAACGCGTTCGTGCATGCGTGCGTAAATGCATGCGTAAATGCGTGCGTAAATGCATACGTAAACGCGTGCGTGCATGCGTGCGTGCATGCGTGCGTGCATGCATACGTGCACGCGTGCGTTCATGCGTGCCTGCAGGGCTTGAAATGGGTTTATCTTGGCGATCGTGAGTCGAATTTAAACCCGGAGAAGTAACTTATCAAGCTCTAGCTGACCAAGAAAAGGAAGAAACCCGGAAAAAAAAAGGAAGAAAAAAAAAACAGAACAAAGCTTGAGATTACGTTCGAGACTTTTTACAAAGCTCTACCTGAGTCAGCTGCAGGTTGAGATGACGTCGTAGTAATCCAATCTCTGGAAACACGCTGGCATGACGGCACGTGATCAAAACGACAAATCGACTTGATGATACGGAAGCAAGCCCGAAGCAGCGGTTGTCGTTTTAGGATATCCAAAAACGTTAAGCAGTGAGTAGAAATCGACACTTATCATTCATGACGAGCATCCACAAAAAAGATGTTTCCTTGATACAGTAGCATTTTAGGAAAAAACAAACATAGGATTTGAACACGAGAAGACGAACAAGAAAGAAGAAGCAGCCGGGGCAATATCCCTTATGCACGGATTAAGACATACGCATCGTCAAACAGAACTGCCCGGCAAACCGTAGGCAGAGAGGGAGAAGAGGACAACAAACGAGGGGCTGTGACAAACTGTTTCGTCAGAGTTTCACCGACTCATCAGGAGGATATATATATATATAATAATACATATTCATATATATATCGTCACAAACAGAACTGCCCGGTAAAACCGTAGGCAGAGAGAGAAGAGGACAACAAACGAGGGGCTGTGACAAACTGTTTCGTCGTATGCCCTCTTCTCTTTCTATGTCTACAGTTTACCAGGCAGCTCTGTTCGACGATATATATATATGTGAACCGACAGTCTGTAGAGTTTTCCATCTGG